GGTGTGTTAGGTGATCTTCAGGTGTGTTAGGTGATCTACAGGTGTGTTAGGTGATCTTCAGGTGTGTTAGGTGATCTGCAGGTGTGTTAGGTGATCTTCAGGTGTGTTAGGTGATCTTCAGGTGTGTTAGGTTATCTTCAGGTGTGTCAGGTGATCTTCAGGTGTGTTAGGTTATCTTCAGGTGTGTTAGGTGTGTGTTTTGTCAGGTGATCTATTAATTTATTTACAGGCGGCTTGTGACGTATTGCCACATCACCACTACATTATCACAACTCCCTCCGCCACACAACCATCCACCCAAATCCCGTTAACCATACCCCTCACCCCTTAACCATACACCCACACACTCCTCACCCCACAACCTCACACCATCCTCCCCTCTCAACCACACAACCACTTCACCACCATCCTTCCAAATCCCGTCGACCATACCATCACCATCACCACCACATTTTCACATCTCTCAACCACACCCTTTCAACCACTTCCTTCACACAACTACCCCACGCCACACCCACCTTATTCACACCACCCTACCCCCTTCCCTTAACCCATGACCCACACCGCCTTTAACCCTCTTACCCATGAACCACCCACACCACCTTTCCCTCACCCAAGAATCGTCCCACCACACCTCTCTTACCCATGAACCACACTACCCTACCCCCTCAACCACACTACCACCCCATCAACTACAAACACATACCCCGTCAACCACACTACCACCCTATCAACCACACACTCACGTCTCCCCCTTTCATCTCTCCCTCTGACAGAACATCCAGGAAGGGGAGGAGATGGTCCGTGTGCCGGGCAGCTTAGCGTCCGCCATGAAGGTGAAGAACAACCAAGACGGCACCTACATCAGTCTGGTGGGAGCCGACATTGGAGAGCCAGGCTTCGATATGCCTCAGATCAACGAGCGTCACACCGGCAAGCCATACCGCTATGTCTATGGTACTGGAGGCTACGACCGTGGCTACTTCAGGAATTCGGTATGTTGGGGGAGGAAGAGGGGAAGGGGGGAAGGGAAGGGAAGGGGGGAGGGAAAGGGAAAGGGAAGGGGGAGGGGAAGGGTGTTTTAAAGGATGTTTTATTATTGGGTTATATTACTATCATTGTTAATGGGTTTTAAAAGCATTGTTCATACACACACATCTATACACACACACTCCTAAAACACACACACACACACACACACACACACACACACACACACACACACACACCGTGATCGACCAATGTAGCAATAACCGTACCTATAACTGTACCAATAACTTTAGCGCTAAATGTACCGTGTACCCTAACAGGTGTGTAAGGTGGACGTGGAGACGGGGCGCTCATTAAAGTGGCAAGGGAACGAGTACCAGTACCTCTCAGAGCCCACCTTCGTCTCCGCTCCTGACGCTGTTGACGAGGATGACGGAGTAATCCTCTCCTCCGTTGCTGACGTCCGCAAAGACTCACCGGACTTCCTGCTGGTGCTCAACGCCCGGACTATGGAGGAACTAGGGCGAGCTGAGATCGACGGTCAATTGCCAAACAGCTTACACGGCGTCTTCCTGCCGGAGAAGCACTGAGTGGAGGGGGTGCATGTGTGGGGGTCCTGGGGGAGGTTGGGAGAGAGTAGAGTTCTTCTGTAGTCGTAGTGCCGGATTGAGGTGGTCATAAAGAGTGACGTCACAGTGCTACGAGTGAAGTCATAATGCCGTGAATAAGGTTCATGGTGTTGTGACGTCACAGTGCCGTGAGTGAGGTCATTTTGTTGTGACGCCATAGTGTCGAAATGATTTCATGGTGTTGTGACGTCACGGTGCTCGCGAGGTTATTACAAACTCGGCGCCGTGACGACATAGCGCCGTAAGGTCGTTGACTACATGGTGACAAACAAACTGTGATCTTACAGCGTAATGCTGGTAGAACTATTGTTATTATTTGTTCACAATTTCTAGTTATCGTCTCAAACTTGCACCTTAGTTTTTTAGTGTCTATAAACCATACCATCTCCCATTCACAAAACATAATTATTACTTTGTTCACAAACATAACATTACCTCTGTCTCAAACTTAGGACATTTTATACTAATAGATTAGGACATCTATTGCAGAATCAGTGTATTGTTTACATACACAAAATAACAACTTCCATATTGTCTTAAACAATGATGAGTCACAACCCACCTTAGTACAACCAACTCTAACAGGCATATCACACGTCACGTCTATACTTCCCGTCATTAATGTTCCTATAAGTACACCTGCTGTCTACACCTCTCATACTTCTATCTCTCTATAGTTATCAGGTTGCATTAAGGTCACTGAACGATAAGAGAATTGTTGATATATTTCTATTATGTATATAATATATATATATATATGTGTGTGTGACTGTGTGTGTGTGACTGTGTGTGTGTGCGTGTGTGTGCGTGTGTGTAGTTTAAGTGTTGTACAGAATATAAATTGTATTTTCACGATGGGCATTTAGTAAGTCTGTTTAGTAGATATTTAATTTTGGATCAGCTAAGTCGACCATCAGGTGACTAATAGCATCAGTGTCCGATGAACGAATGCTTCTTACATGATGTCATACACAAATGATCAAAGCAAAAGTATTTATTCAGTGACGTCATGTGAAGAGGCGGAATCTAGCTGATACACAACATATTTATAAACAGTTTAATTTCAACAGTTTTCAGTCATCTTTATAACTTGCTTTACTTTAGTTACCATAGAAGACATTTGTTGTACAAGAAATACTTTTTATTACTTTATATTACAATATAATAGCCAATCAAACGCTCAACTTGTAACTTTTTAAATCAGGGTTTGACGGACTACCCACCCAAGTACAGTATAGTTTTCCCACACCTGTCTTGTAACACAGGTGTGAGGAACAGGTGTGTGCTGGGTTGATGATGAGTGTTCCACAACTGTTTTACTTGACTCGTCTTCCACACCTGCTACAACAGGTGTGGATGGGGATAATGATGAGTGCGAGGAGTAGGTGAGGCAGCTACCAGGTATGGGCATTACCTTCCATGTGTTCTATTTTGATTAGTGACGTCACGGAATTTCCTTTTATCAATGACGTCACAGTTGTCCCTCTATCAACAATGACGTTACAAAATCCAGACGAGCCAATCATTTGTCGGATATGACTATGACGTCATTGATGAGGTCACAAACCCGTTTTACTGGTTGAGTGTTGCATAAAAATCCCACACAGTTTGTATTAATATAATAATTATTGAATGAGTGTTTGCTGCTGGGCGGTTGTGTCGTGACATCAGCTGCTGCGGTGGTGTGTGTGTGTGTGTGTGTGTGTGTGTGTGTGTGTGTGTGTGTGTGTGTGTTGTTGTTTTTGTTTTTGTTTAGTGTTAAAAATAAATTTCTTCTCGTACATCCCTTGTGTGACTTTCCTTATTATTTTATTTTGAACGATATTACACACACACACACACACACACACACACACACACACGCAAATATACAGTAAAGCCAAAATCACACAAATACCCACACACACAAATACATACACCCAAAACATACACACACACACACACACAAAAGCACACACACACACACACAACACAACACAAACACAGAAAAAAAGGAATAAAAATTAACTAAACATTAATTAAGAACCACCTATTAATAATTAACCTCAAGGAAGCAAATGTTAAGGACTTTTTAATTGAATCATATCATTAATACAAACATATTTAGCACCCAGAGATAAATGGAAAGTATTTACCTTAATAGCCTTAAAATGTATTACATCTCAGTTGAACTAAAACAAAAACGAATAAAAATAAATAAATAAAATTAAAATAAGACTGAAAAATAAATCTTGCTTTGAGTTTTTTTATAATAATTAGAGAAGAAAATTCTACAGTTTGTACTTTAATTTGATATGATGAAAATAAATTAACTTCCATTGTTTTAGAGTTTTAGAAAAGTTTTAAGTAATTTGGGAAGAAACAGCAATATTTTTTTCATATAATTTACAATTTATTCTGGATTTTATTTTGACATGAACAGAATAAATTAGTGTTGCTTGTTTTTATTTTCACACTTACTGTATAATATGACTCTTAAGGAAGGTCTGAGACGTGAACCATACTAAAAAAATATACCTGAAAACATTAAATATATCCCCGCCAGCATATACTTTAAAACTTTGTATATTTCCTCCTAAAACTCTACTCTTTACCGCCTAAAATTAACTTTAAAATTATAAAAATTCCCCCCCCCCCAACACACACAAATAAATTACATCTGGAAAAGTTCCCGAAATAAACTAATTAAACAAAAACAAAAACAGAAAAATTTCCCAAATATAAGTAAAGAGCTTTGAAAAGTTCCCCTAAAATACAAAAAAAAACACCGAAAAGTTCCCCTAAAATACGTACCAGTATTTTCCCCCCTAAAAAATTGACTTGAAAATCACATGCACTTCCAGCCTCTCTCTCTCTTCTCTCCCCTCTCTCAGTCTCTACCCTCCTTTCTCTCTCACATTCCCTCTCTCACTCTCTCCTTTCAGTCTCACTCTACCCCTCTCTCTCTCTCTCCCTCTCTCAGTCTCTCACCCCCTCCTTTCTCTCTCCCACATTCCTCTCACTCTCTCCCTTTCTCAGTCTCACTCTACCCCCTCTCTCTTCTCTCTCCCCCTCTCTCTCAGTCTCTCATCCCCCCTCCTTTCTCTTCCCCTCTCACTCTCTTCCTTTCTCAGTCTCCACTCTACCCCCTCTCTCTCTCTTTCTCTCCCTCTCAGTCTCTTACCCCCCCTCCTTTCTCTCTCCCTCTCTCACTCTCTCCCTTTCTCAGTCTCACTCTACCCCCTCTCTCTCTGCCCCTTCCTACATATGAGTCACTGAACAACCTCCCTTTCTTTCTCTCCGCCTCCACTTCTCTCCCACTTCCGTCTCTCTGCAGCGTCTTGACGTGTGAGATTGCCTCTTCATCTTTCCTCTTAGTTTCTTCAAGTAAATTCCTCTCTTGAATTTACTTTCTTAAAATGCTACTGTTACATTTAATAGTGTTGATAGTGGTATTAACAGCAATATATATACTACTACTACTACTACTACTACTAATACTACTACTACTACTACTACTACTACTACTAATACTAACAATAATATGATGATAATGATGATGATGATGATATGAGGATGGTAATTATATGATGATGGTGATGATAATGGTGATATAGTGGTAATACTGATATGATGATAGTAATAATAATATGATGATGATGGTGATATATTATTGTTTCTCGTTACCAGACCAAATAACTTACAACTTCTTGGCAGGATATTAAAGTCTACGGACATTGATCATACAAGTTGAGTATCATAGCCACGTAATCTAAGAAATAATAATAATAATAATAATAATAATAATAATAATAATGATAATAATAATAATAATAATAACAACAACAACAACAAGAATAATAATAATAATAATAATAACCAACAGTGTATTCAGAACAAAACAACGAAAATAATAAAATAAAGAATACACAAACACTTCATAAAATTGTAACATGAATTAAATGGAGGAGGAATGGTTGGAGTGGAATATTAACATAGATAAGGAAAAAGTTGAAAGAAGAGACACGTTACTCACGAATCATTGATGACTTCTGTAGAGGTTGGAAGGGTGGTGTTCTTGTGGTTGTCTGTGAGGTGGTGTGGAGCAATAACTTGAGGTGAGGTTGTGGTGTGGAGCAGTAACTTGAGGTGAGGTTGTGGTGTGGAGCAGTAACTTGAGGTGAGGTTGTGGTGTGGGGCAGTAACTTGGGGTGAGGTTGTGGTGTGGAGCAGTAACTTGAGGTGAGGTTGTGGTATGGAGCAATAACTTGAGGTGAGGATGTGGTGTGGAGCAGTAACTTGAGGTGAGGTTGTGGTGTGGAGCAGTAACTTGAGGTGAGGTTGTGGTATGGAGCAATAACTTGAGGTGAGGATGTGGTGTGGAGCAGTAACTTGAGGTGAGGTTGTGGTGTGAGCAATAACTTGAGGTGAGGTTGTGGTGTGGGAGCAGTAACTTGAGGTGAGGCTTGTGGTGTGGAGCAGTAACTTGAGGTGAGGTTGTGGTGTGGAGCAGTAACTTGAGGTGAGGTTGTGGTGTGGAGCAGTAACTTGAGGTGAGGTTGTGGTGTGGGGCAGTACCTTGGGGAGGTTGTGGTGTGGACCAGTAACTTGAGGTGAGGTTGTGGTATGGAGCAATAACTTGAGGTGAGGTTGTGGTGTGGAGCAGTAACTTGAGGTGAGGTTGTGGTGTGGAGCAGTAACTTGAGGTGAGGTTGTGGTGTGGAGCAATAACTTGAGGTGAGGTTGTGGTATGGAGCAATAACTTGGGGTGAGGTTGTAGTGTGGAGCAATAACTTGAGGTGAGGTTGTGGTGTGGAGCAGTAACTTGAGGTGAGGTTGTGGTGTGGAGCAGTAACTTGAGGTGAGGCGTGTGGAGCAGTAACATGAGGTGAGGTTGTGGTGTGGAGCAATAACTTGAGGTGAGGTTGTAGTGTGGAGCAGTAACATGAGGTGAGGTTGTAGTGGAGCAGTAACATGAGGTGAGGTTGTAGTGTGGAGCAGTAACATGAGGTGAGGTTGTGGTATGGAGCAATAACTTGAGGTGAGGCTGTAGTGGAGCAATAACATGAGGTGAGGTTGTAGTGTGGAGCAGTAACATGAGGTGAGGTTGTAGTGTGGAGCAATAACTTGAGGTGAGGTTGTAGTGTGGAGCAGTAACATGAGGTGAGGTTGTAGTGTGGAGCAGTAACATGAGGTGAGGTTGTAGTGTGGAGCAATAACATGAGGTGAGGTTGTAGTGTGGAGCAGTAACAGGAGGTGAGGTTGTAGTGTGGAGCAGTAACAGGAGGTGAGGTTGTAGTGTGGAGCAGTAACATGAGGTGAGGTTGTAGTGGTATGTGGTGTAAGAGAGTGAGAGAGCATCTGGATTCTGTCTTGGGTAACAATATAGGAAGGAGACCAGAGAGGAGGAGAGAGTAAGTCTAAACGCTGTGTAAATATTCATGAGCTCAGACACACAAAGTCCGAGTGTATTGAGGCGCTGAAGGACGTGGAGGCCATGCTGGAAGACTTGACGTTTATACTGTACTTCCCAGCTCAGTCTGTTATCAATATTGACACCGAGGAGCTTGGTGAGGTCCAGTGTGATGAAGGGAGGTTAAACATGGTCTGGGAGAGGTTAATGGTGTGTGGTGTTGACATGGTTAGCGAGAGTCCAGTTTGTGGAGACTGTTTACGGTGTTCTGGAGGTCGGTGTAATCAGGAGTCATGTTGTTGACTGATACAAATGGTGGGTTTATCCTGGGGAACGCCGCACACACCTTGGTGGCGTTCATTAAGGAAGTCGGTAGGGAAAGTTATGAGACGTCTCCGGGTCCCACCGTGGATGACTTTGTTGACAGTTAGGTCGTGGCTGATTAAGTCATCTACTTTACTGAAGTTTGCCACGACGAGAGAATTGGTCTCCCACACACTGTACTCTTATCTTATGGTCATATATATATATATATATATATATATATATATATATATATATATATATATATATATATATATATATATATATATATATATATATATATATATATATATATTATATATATGCGTAAATTTTCCCTCTGGAATTCTATCTTTAGTTCCACAGTAAAAGCGAAAAAAATATCCAGCTTATGGATTTTTTTTGTTTTTATTTTTCCTTGCACCTTTCTTGCAGTTTTTAAGTTCTCATCCTCTTTTAGCATTCTGTTAGACCAGGCCAGACCAGGCCAGACCAGGCCAGGCCAGGCCAGGTCAGGCTAGGACAGGTCAGACCAGGCCAGACCAGGCCAGACCAGGCCAGGCCAGGCCAGACCAGGCCAGGCCAGACCAGGCCAGGCCAGGACAGGCCAAGGCAGGTCCACACAATTCTCCCTCGACGCACATAAATGTTTTTCCTTCCTCTAACCCTATAAACCTGTAGATTAAAGCCTACAAGTAGTTTCTCTAAGACTTTAACAACTTGGACTTCTTTTTATCTTTGAGGGAATGTCAACGTTTTTCTAATTCTCTCTCAAACTCGTACGACTTTAAAGAATTTGTTATGTGTGTGTAATAATATTTTGTCTTACCTGATTTCTTTTCCTTCAGAGCACAAAAATCATTTAACGAATTCTCACGGAAACAAATATGAAAACAATTCTCCTTGTACGTACGTATTTCGTATTATTCACAATTTTCCCTAAAACATCATACACACCTGAGATATTTCCCTAAAACATCACACACACCTGAGATATTTCCCTAAAACATCACACACACCTGAGATATTTCCCAAAAACATCACACACACACCTTAGATATTTCCCTAAAGCATCACACACACCTG